AAGACAAGACCAAAGAAAATAGGGAAACACAGTACGCTACTGAAAGACTCTAATAAAAATATAATTTCTTATTAAATTAAGATATAAATTTAAAAAGCATTCCATTTGTGTTTATGGAGCTGGACAAGAAAGTAAAGTTTAAATGAAAGGATAAATGTGTAAAAATTTTCAAAGTAATTTTGATTAAGAAAAAAATGACATTATTAAAAATGACAGAGTAAGCGACTTCAAAAACCCATATCTCCACTAATGCAATGATTAACCTAGCAAAACACCACCAGAATCAACTTTTTTTGAACTCTGGAATCTAATAAAAACTTACAACCAGAGTAGTGCTTAGTGAAGAAAGAAGCTACTAAATTTTGGTAAGAAGATGTTGTGGCATTTTACTGAACTTCTGACCATTCCCTACTCCTTAGCTTAGAGACAGCCATGGGGATAGTGGCCTGCATTTCTATTGTGGGTTGCTGGTGCCAAGATGAAAGGAAATATGGATTTTATTCTCAAAGAATTGTGATTGTATATTTTGACTGATCAATTCCTATATATTGAATTGCTCTATGAAAAGGAGGGGTAATCTCAGAGGATTGACTTTTTTTACCCCTCTTTGGGATTTCTCAGAGTTGGAGCAGCCGCTGCAGCAGTGTTAGCCAAATGCTAAATGGTAGATTTGAGCATGTAGAAGAAAGAATCAGTGAAGTTGAAGGTATATCAATCGAAATAATCCAGTTTGAGGGACAGAAAGTAAAAAAGAATGAAAAGAGGTAAATAGCACCTCAGAGGTATGTGAGACACTATCACCAACAGATGCATAATAGGTGCCCCAGAAAGAGAGGAGAAACAGAAACAGGCAGAAAGTAAATTTGAGAAAATAATGATCCAAAAGTTCCCAAATTTGATAAAAACACATTAATTTATATATTCAAGAAGGCCAACAAACTCCAAGATGGCTAAACTCAAAGAGATTCCACACTGAAACACATCATAACCAAACTGTCAAAAAAAATAAGATCTTGAAAGCAGCAAGATATGTGACTTGTTATATTTAAGGGTTCCTCAGGAAAATTAACAGCCAATTTCTATTCAGAAACTATGGAAGCCACAAGGCTGTTGAGTGATACATTTGAAGTGTCAAAGGTAAAAAAAAAAAAAACTTTCAAAAACATTCTATATCCTAGAAAACTATTCTTCAAAAATGAATGTCACATTTAGACATTCCCAGAGAAACAGAAGCTGAGGGAGATCATTGTCTGTAAACCTGTTCTAGAAGAATGCTAGTGGTACTCCTTCAGGCTAGATAGTAATTAAAAGACACGCAAAGAAATAGAAAAGTTACCTTTAAAATAACTCTATAGCTAACTATAAAAACCAGTATTATTGTACTTTTTATTTGTAAGTCTTCTTTTTTGTTCCCCCTATATGACTGAAAAGGCAAACATATAGAATAAAAATTATAAATCTATGTTAATGGGTACATACACAATATATAAAATTTAGGTTGTGACAATAACAACATAAAAGGGGAAGGATGTAGCTGCATAGGAACAAAGTTTTTTATATTATTGAAGCTAAGTTAGTAATTCAAAGTAGTTTGCTATAAATTAGAGGTATTAATTGTAATTGCCATGGTGACCACTAAAAATAACTAAAAACATATGTAGAATAGAGAATGAGAATTAAATAAAAATGATACATTACAAAAATCAATTAAACACAAAGAGGGCTGTATTGAAGGAAGTGAGGCATGAAAACATATAGACATATATAAAACAAATAGAAAAATGGTAAAAGTAAGTCAAATGATTATAGTTAGAAGGACTTGGGTGAGGGTACTAGGAGATAACGATGTCCCATCTGGATAGGTTGGTTTTTGAGGGTTTTTGGAGACATCAGGAAGGAGAGATCCAGTCAGCATGTGGAGCACAGCATTGAAATCTGGTGATATAGAATTGGGAGTCATCAGCATTTTGATAAAAGGTTCTCAATCCTGGCTGCACATTAGAATAATCTGTGGAACTTTTGAAAAATACTCATGCTTGGGTCACAGAACCCTTCCACCATTGTCATTTAAAAATAGCTTCCCAGGTGAATATAACATGCAGCCAAGATTGAATGCCATCATTGTAAGTGGTAATTGGAGCTGTTGGGAGTAGATATGACCATCAGGGAAAGTTCAAAGAGATAAGGGGAACTGGAGAACAAATTTCTACTTAGAGTGGAGAAGGGTATAGAGCTCCAATATCTAGTACAGTAGCCACTAGCCACTTGTGGCTATTTAAATTTAAATGAAAGAAAAAAAATCAGTTCTATATTTGCACCAGTCACATTTCCAAGCACTTTAATAACCATAGATGATTTGTGGCTACCATGTTGGAAAGGGCAGATATAGAACATTTTAATCATTACAGAAAGTTCCATTGGATGGTGTGGGATGATCCAATTGTCTCTTCTACCTCTCATCTGTCTATAATACAGAGGACTCTTCCAAATTCAGGGTAGAAATATACAGTATCCATGTTAACATGTGGGTACTCTCATTTGCCTAATGAATTTTCATGACTATGGACATGTGCTATTTTTATTTTTGTGAGACTTTCAACTCGTTGGTGTCCAGAGGAGTTATGTAGAACTGCTGGCGACTGGATTAAATCAATGCTTTTTATTTTCTCTGGAATGAAAAGTATATATTTGTTTCCATTAAGTCACTCAACTGTAAGGGAGAGTTTTAAATCTTTTGTTAAACACTCATTATCACTTTGCATGATGTTTCTTGAAGTAGTCAAGGAAAAGGCAGAATGGGATGACACTAATTACAATGAATAGTAGGCTGTATAATTGTTTAAAAGTTTTGCATCTGATTATCAGTCTTGGGGTTGGCTTTGACCCCAGAACCCACAGGCCTTGAAAAATGAGTATCTGGCCTCTTTCTGTTACCCTTTTACATTAGAATCTAAAGTGGCAATGTTCACCTAGGAGCTTATTGCCAAACCTTCCTTAAATGGGGGCAATGGGACTCTAAAAATTTTTTTATGCTAAGAATTAGGAAATCTTGGTGAAGGGGTACATGGGCAGTCTTCATACAACTTTTCTGTGTCTGAAATTATTTTAAAATAAAATATTATAAAAATTTACTTAAGCCAGCAAATCATGGATTCTCATAAAAATATAACAATGTGGCTTAAAATAAAGAAATATTTCTGGTCTCCCCCCATGCATCTTTTTATGAGTTATTGTATATACATGTTCTATCCAGTTTTCTTCACTTGATGTTTTATAAGAATTTCTCACCTATCTGTAATAATAGTACTCTTTATATCTCCTGCCTTCCCACCCCATTTCCCCTGTGGGGAAGTGGCTCTGCTCAGTGAGACTGATACAGGATGTTTTATACATCAAATGTTAAAACATCACATTAAATGACTACATAGCATTTTTTTGGGTCAGATCAGGTTAACCATAATGTACTAAACTAGTCTATAGTTTGAGGATCTTTAGGGTTTATTCCATTTATCTCTGCTATTGTAAATAATGCTTTGATAGATACTTTTGTACATAAAGGTTTTTATATAGTATATTCAAGTTATGTGCACATTATAACTTCCAAGAAATCAACTTACTGGGTCAAAAACCAGGACCATGGAACTTTTGCTATAAGTTAGAATGGAGAAGGAAGAGAAAAAATTTAAAGCTATTTCAAAGGAAGAAAAAATGAGACTTGCTAAAAACAAAACAAAACAAAAAAACCCAGGAGTTGGTAATCAAAAGACTATAGAGAGAACTCAAGATGATATCTAAGTTTTAAAATTATTTTATTTTTAAAATTTTATTATTCATTAAAGTACTAGAGGCCTGGTGCACAAAAATTTGTGCACTCGGGGGCGGGGGGTCCCTCAGCCCAGTCTGTGCCCTCTCGTAGTCTGGGACCCCTTAAGGGTTGACCACCTGCTGGCTTAGGCCTGCTCCCCGGGGGGATTGGGTCTAAGCTGGCAGTCAGACATCCCTTTGGCAGCCTGGGAGCCCTCGGGGGATGTCCACTTGCCAGCGGGGAGGAGGCCTAAGCTGCAGTTGGACATCCTTAGCGCTACTGAGGAGGTGGGAGAGGCTCCCACCACCACCACTGTACTGACAGACATCAGCCTGGCTTGTGGCTGAGCAGAGCTCCCCCTGTGGGAATGCACTGACCACCAAGGGGCAGCTCCTGCATTGAGCATCTGCCCACTGTTGGTCACAGTGTGTCATAGTGACCAGTCATTCCCAGTAGTTCTGCTGTTAAGGTCAATTTGCATATTACCCTTTTATTATATAGGATAATTGACATATATTCATTTCAGGTATACAGCATAGTGATTTAACATTTATATACCTTATGATGTGATCACTTCAGTAAGTCTAGTAACCATCTGACACCACACAAAGTTATTATGATTTTATTGACTTTTTTTTAACTTATGCTGCACATTACATTTAAGCCTGAGTGACTAAAAGTGGTAATGCTGCTATCCGTGTGATTGAGAAAGGCTCTTCACTGGGCTGGTTATTAACGTCCTAAGAGTTTTTGTCAAACATTCTATTTCTTCATGACTTCCATTTTTAGTTCAAAGATACTTATTTTGCTTTCTCCTTGGTCTTCATTTGGCAGTGGCTCTTAACATTTTGACTGTTTCTCTGTCCCAGTGGATTCTGCCAAATAATGATCTTAAATGCTTGAATGCACTCAAGAAGTTCTGCTGAGTATTACCTTACAATGCAATCTCCTTCAGTGTGACTGTTTAGCAACTTTCTCATTTTGCATATTGGAATCTCTAAAACCAGGTCACCCTTGTTGTTCCTTAGAGGCTTTAACTTTTGTACAGGATATATTTCCTGCAAAGTTGGTGAGTTTTCCATCTCCCTGCCTACCCTAACAGATAAGATTAGGACTTGAAATGTTATAATAGTAAAGTTTTAAAACAAAAAATAAAAATTTGTCAGGGTACTTACCTAGAAATAATGGTACATACCTCTACATGTAAAGTGGTGCAGGTTAAAGAATAGTATCCTGGGAATTATGAGACCTGGATTCTAGTCTCAGCTCTTCTACTAATTTGAAATATGAACTTGAGGAAATCACATTACTTCTTCTTTAAGTCTCTGTTCCCTTTTCTGTGAAATGAGGGGGATAGAAAGGTGATTACTAAGATGAATGCCAGCCCCTAAATAAACTATTTATTAAAAATAATAAATGCTTAAACAGTATTAGCAACATTTATGATACTTAGAGACCATTGAATTAGCTATAGCACTAAGTGAGAGACTCATTTATCATCAGTTAGCCCCGTGTTTACTCCATAAAGACAAACAGGACTGATGCAGACTAAAAAGTGAATTTGAGACTCAGTTACTGGTCTGGGCTGTTTTTGTAGATGAAATAAACTAAATAATCCACAATAATTCACCTTTCCCTTTGACACTGGGACCAGCCCAACATAATATGCCCATGCTCCTAAGGTAGAATAGAAGAGAGCCCAAAGATAGGGTTGCTCTGATTTTCTGGGTCCTATGCCTACAGCCTCTTGAGTGCTGATTCCCAGAAATAGCAGTCATACTGTCCAGAGCCATCTTAATGAATTCTACTGATTTCCATCATAAAGGGAACCAGCACAAGATCTTTCACCTAATAAAGACTCTGAAGAGTGCGTTGTTAGAAGAGAGGGTTTTTTCTCCATTATGCCCCTTCCAAGAAGTAGGACTATTGTCAGAGTATCTCTGTTGCCTATTAATGATTCCCTATGGCTCTCATCACAATTTAACTTTAGTGCTTCTCAAATTTGAACAGCAGATCACATAGAAGTCAGGATGCTCTCTGTGGACCCTATAAAATATTGCTATAAATTTAATCCAAATTCGCTGAGCCTTTGCATCCATTACTTTAATGCAATGAGTACTATGCAAATAGAGGAGCATACTAACTCATACAAAAACTCTGCCCAGCAAAGCTTTCACTTACAGTAACTCAAGTCCTGTTTTCTCATGCTGTCTATTCTCTCAGCTACTTATTCTATCTACGCTTTGCTCTCCAGATTAAATGCTGATGTGAAACTGTGTTCTTCTTGGCTGCAAATTTCAGCTTATTTTCAGAATTTTCTGCTTCCAAGACTGCCTCAGATTACAATTGCCCTCTATTGCATCTCCTTATCCCCCTCCCCCACTTTCCCTTGTGGGGAAGTGGCTCTTATAGATGAGATTGAGATAGTATGTTTCTTTCTTCTTCATCTTTGTTTTGTTACCAGATGATTGCTTTTGTTTTCTCTTTTAGGACCCTCTTGCGATTGGGTGAGGTAATTTTGTTCATTTCAACAAAAATTCAGAGTTTTGAAAATTTGTCTAGGAATAATTCCAAGTGTCCATGATCAACAAATACAAAAAAAGCTGTTCCTGAGCAAATTAAATTATAGTGGGATAAAAACTTTGCAAGATCAATGGAAGTAAATATGTTCTAAATTTAAAATGAAATCAGACTTCCATTACTGTCACAATCATAATTTTTACAGTTTTTTTAAGTTCCTTTTAGGCTGAAATATTTCAATTTGCTTTAAACGGAATATCTTTTGGGGTAATTAGCAGACATTATCTATGGAAAAAATAGCACTTAAAACTAAGCATATGGTTTGAGATCCAGAAGGGACAAAATCATTATAAGGGCACATAGAAAATAACAATTAAATTAAAATTACCACCTGCCTAGTTTCTTTTGAAATTGTAAGCATGCATTTATTTATTTTTTTAATTTTATTTAATTTATTGATGTGACATTGTTTAATTAAAATTATATAGGTTTCAGGTATATAAGTCTATAGTACATCATCTGTACATTGTACTCTGTGTTTACTACCCCAAGTCAAGTCTCCTTCCATTACCATTTATCCCTCCTTTGCCCTCTTCCACCTTTTTCTATCCTCCCTTCCCCTCTGCCAATCACTATACTGTTGTATGGCATGTTTCATACATAATATAACTACAGGGAATTTGTAATAGCAGTTTATGTGCAGGCACAAGTATGTGTCCACAAACAAATAAAAGCCTGATGTGCTTTTTCTAGGTGCTCTTTTGCCACAGGTTCATTTGTATGGCTGTCTGCCAGCAGCAACTAAAGGTTTTAAGAGGAATTGTGACTGAAAACTTGAAATGTAGAAAATTCTCCCCATGAACTAAAATTGTTTCTGTAAATTGAGAAGTGGTTGCCACATATTGATTTTGGCAGTAGAGCACCTTAGTGCAATCTTAAGAACATCAGTGATTTGTGGAACCATAATTTAATGACTACCAGTTGACCAGAAAATTTTTTCAGTGTTATTTATATAATTAGTCATCCTGTACTACTTATAGTAAGCAGTTCTGTAAATTATGTTGACAATTTACTGTGCAGTATGGGACTAGTATCTCAGAATTTTGTACCTCCAATTAAAAAGGCCCTTCTTGCCCTGCCAGCATGGGTCAGTGGTTGAGCATTGACCTACGAACCAGGAGATCACAGTTCGATTACTGGTCAGAGCATATGCCTGGCTTGCAGTTTCAATCCCCAGTGTGGAGCGTGCAGGAGGCAGCCGATCAGTGATTCTCTCTCATCATTGATGTTTCTATCCCTCTCTCGCTGAAATAAATAAAAATATATATTTTTCAAAAGGTCCTTCTTGTCCATCATCTTTCCCAGATGAAATGTGTCTCAAGAGTCAGGAGGCTCTGAACTCTCTCTTTAGTTTAAAAGTTCCTGATATTTATCGAGAGCTTTATGATTGCAAAGTTATTTTACATACATCATTTCATTTGGTTCTTTCACTTATCCTTGCCTACTTCACAGAGTTTTTTTTTAATTTCCATTTTTAGTAGATGAATATTTTCAGCATTATAGAAAGTAATGATTTGCTCCAGTACCCAAGGACTAATAAGAGGCAGAGTCAGGTTTATAACAGTGTTCTAACTACTCCATATTTTGGGCTTTTTCCACTTGTTGGTCCATTCAGTGTAAAATGGAGAAGTGAAGAAATTCTCTAAGAAATACATTATTGAAGCAAAAGCCATTGTGTGAATTATTTCTGCAGCCATCCCAGGGATGCATTTCACATTGTATTTGAAAATGGAGTCACCATGCTTCAGCTGAACTCCAGAGAAGATTAGGCCCTTGTGCCCTTTACCAAGTTGGACCATGCATAAAATATTTTCAAGTAACAGAAACCTCCCCACTGCTATGAACTAAATTATATCCTCCAAATTTGTATGTTGAAGCCCTGCCTCCCCTCCGCCACCCCAGCAACAGTCTGACTGTATTTGGAGTAAGGAAATAATTAAGTTTAAATGAGATCATAATGGTGGGTCCCTTCTAGGATTAGTACCCTTATATGAAGATACCCCAGGGATCTCACTCACTCTAATTGATGTGTCTCTCACATCAATGTTTCTCTCTCTGCCTCTCCCTCTCGCTTTCATTCTCTCTAAAAATCAATGGGAAAATATCCTCAGGTGAGGATTAACAACAACAAAAAATTATTTCAGAGAGGGTGAGGAAGGGGAGAGAGAAAGAGAAACATCAATTTGTTGTTCCACCTATTCATACATTCATTGGTTGTTACCTGTATGTGTCCTGACCAGGGATCAAACCCACGACCTTGGTGTATCAGAATAATGTTCTAATCAACTGAGATACCCAGCTAGTGCTGAAGAAGGAGAAGAAGAAGAAGAAGAAGAAGAAGAAGAAGAAGAAGAAGAAGAAGAAGAAGAAGAAGAAGAAGAAGAAGAAGAAGAAGAAGAAGAAGAAGAAGAAGAAAGCTCTCACCAGTAACCAAATCAGCTAACACCTTCATCTTGGAATTCCTAGCCTGCAAAATTGAGAAAATAAATTTCTGTTGTTTAAGGCATTCAGTCCCTGGTATTTTGTTAGGGTAGCCCAAGCTGACTCAACCCTCAACCAAGAATGTGTTTACTCATTTTTAGAGAGTGGATGAAGATACAATTTTAATCTTGGGCCAGGGTCCTGAATTGCAACCTCTTTTCCCCATCAGAGAGAGAGAGAGAGGAGAGAGGAGAGAGAGGTTGTGAGAGGTTGCCTTGGGTTTGGGGTTAGGAGGAAGTTAAGGTTCTTTATTCGGTGATTTGGGGGTGGTACATATTTTGTGTTAGGGGAGGATGTCAGTATGTTCACAGGAATTGCTGATTATTGTTAGAGGAGTTTGATTTAGCTCCTAGTACTCTTCTTCCTCAAAGTGTTAAAAAGGTTGTACATTCTGCATATACACCCCCCCAAGTACAATTTTAATATATTATTTTAAAATCAAGTAAAAAAAAAGATAAGTTCAAAGAGATCCAAGATGGCTGCTGATGGGATGGCAGGCTGCAAGATAGTGTGTGAGTGAGAAGCGAAAGGAGAGTGCATGGACGTGCAGGGGATTGTCTGTATTTGTGAGTGAGGGACAGTTATATCCACAGGACTGTTGGGGACTGGCGGACCAGGCTCCCCTGGCCACACAGCCACTACTACTGCTGAAATCTCTCACTGAGCAGCCAGCTCTGCTGCAGAGACCATGCCATCTGAAAGGGAGAGCGGCTGTGATCAGAAGCCCAGCCTTACCTTTAACCAGGGAGACCTCAGATACTTCTTGGGGCCCTACAACCGCAACGCCCAGGGTCCAGCTGCCTCAGCTGCAAACCCAGAAACACTGAGGCTCCAGCCTCCCCGACCATGAATGCCTAAAAAGTTTGTCTAGGGAGAGACAAAGTGGCGCCAAATATGCGGATGGGTCCTGCACCTTCTCACAGAGCAGATAGAAGGAACAGCTGAATCAAATAACATCCACCTGGAATTGGCGAAGTAAACACAGCTGGTGAGGCAATCTGTGGATGGAAAGGTCAGAGATAGCCTAGAGCAGTGGTTGGCAAACTGTGGCTCGCAAGCCACATGCGGCTCTTGGAAAAAAAAAGGAAAAGGACCAGAAAACAGGATTTTAAAAAGATTCCCAGGTGATTCTAATGTGCAGCCAAGGTTGAGAACCACTGGCTTAGAGAGTCAACACAAGAGAGAGAGCTACATAATCAGACACCCTGAGAGGAGTGATCATGGGGAGAAAAAGAAACAGCCCACATATGAAAGAAAAGGAGGGATCACTGGAAAA